CACTGGCCACAGGCCTCCAACCAGACTCGGCCCCATTTATCACCACCCTCTGGGCTCTGCCATCCAGCCAGTCCTCAATATACCTCACTGTCCACTCATCCAGTCCATACTTCCTGAGCTTTCCTGGGAGGATATTACGAGAGACGGTGTTGAAAGCCTTGCTGAGTCAAAGTAGACAATATCCACGGCTTTCCCAATGTCCATCCAGCTGGTCACCTCATCATAGAAGGTTATCAGGTTGGTCAAACACAACTTCCCCTTCCATGCTGACTACTCCTGATCACCTTCTTTTCCTTGACATACCTAGAGATGGTCTCTAGGACGAGCTGCTCCATCACCTTTCCAGGGACGGAGGTGAGGCTGCCCAGCCTGTAGTTTCCTGGGTCCTCTCTCTTGCCTTTTTTGAAGGCTAGAGTGCTGTTGGCTTTCTTCCAGTCCTAAGGCACCTCCCACGCTCTCCATGACCTCTGGAAGTTGATGGAGAGCGGCTGAGCAATAATCCCCACCAGTTCCCTCAGCACTCTGGGGAGGATCCCATCTGGCCCCATAGATTTATGGGTGTCCAGTTTGCCTAAATAATCCCTTACGCAATCCTCCTGTACTAGCAGAAAGTGCTACTCTCTCCTGGTTCTCTGTCTTGTCTCTGGGCTCTGTATTTCATGGGGACTGGCCTTAGCAGAAAAGACAGAAGCAAAGAAGGTATTTAGACACTCTGCCTTCTCTGCATCCTTTGCCACCATGGCACTCTTCCCATTCAGCAGTGGACTAACATTTTCCCTAGTCTTCCTCTTCCTGCTTCCAGCTTGCTGCTGCTTCATCCTCCCCTATGCTGAGCTCCATACATTCCAGTTGCTCTACCACATAAAGAGCAACTCCGCCGCTTCGCCTTCCTGGTCTGTCCTTCCGGAAAAGCCTAAAGCCATCCATGGCCACGTTCCAGTCATGTCTCAGTAACTGCGATGAGATCATGGCCCTGCAAACACACATGCATCTCCACTTCCCCTTGTTTATTCTCCATGCTGCGTGCGTTTGCATAATGCTCAGACACCCTCACAGTAAAGCTTTTCCTCATGTTCAGATAGAACTTCCCATGTTTCAGTTTGTGCCCATTGCTTCTTGTCTGTCACTGGGCACCACTGTAAAGAGTCTAGTTCCATCCTCTTGACACCCAGGCTGAACAGCCTCAGCTCTCAGCTTTTCGTCATTTGATAGATGCAACCCTCCCTTAGTTGTCTGAGTACCTCTCCAGTGAACTCTCTCCAGTAGCTTCAAGTCTCTCTTGTACTTGGGAGCCCAGAACTGGACACAGTACACAAGGTGTGGCCTCACCAGGGCTGAGTAGAGGGGGAAAAATCACTTCAGTTTTTCCATTTTAATGAGTTACCTCTTTCTTACTTAAGCGAGGTCCTGCACATTTAGCAAATGAGAAGTTATATTATACTGCCTTCTAATTTACTTCTAAATTACTTGTATTTAAGTAAAGAAAATAAGGTATCACTGCTTTCACTGCTTTTTCTTTTTTTTCTTAGATATCTGCAAGTTTGTATATGTGAGGTTTTCTTACTTAAAGCCCTTGTTACTTGTCTTGTAACTGCCAAGCTGCCCATTTTTTTCCCACTCAGTGTAAACGAGCTTGAGGTCCAGTTTAGATATTTGGCTTTTGAATTCCTAAATTGAGCAAAAGTGGATTTTGTTTGCATATCTCTGACTTTCTAGTCCACTAGATTTCTGGTCCACAAAATTTCTCTTTAACTGGCTTTCCTTTTCTGAACGCTTTGAGTTGTCCAGACAATAAACAATTAAAAGATTTGCTTGTCAACTATTCTGACTTCTGGGCAATTGATGCTGCAAGAATATCGCAAAGGTGCCAGGACACATCTACCCATTGTCTTCTCACTGATTTTCTGATTATAGTTTAAAAAACTTGAAAAGCTATTTGCTATGGGATATGTTGCTATATATACCGTACATAAATTTTGATTTGATGGGAGGTTATTAATAAAATTGTCAGAACAGAAGAATTTGATATGAAATTGAGTTAGAGAAAAAATATGTAAGCATTGTAACTAACATAAACTTAAAAATCATTTAAAGATGCTGCATTTAGAGATACTATGTTTTTTCCAGAAATATCTCATGAACTGCTCAAACTGAACTTAATTATGATACTCCAGTAATTGTGATGAATAAAATTGATCCTGAAAGATTAAGTAATTCTATTTAATTTTTAGTAGAGTTCAGTATTGCTGGAGAGACTGGGTTGAAATGTTAAAAAGCCAAGACACTTCTGAGATAGAAGCTTCATTTCTTGAAAGTATAATGCTAGAACATAAGCTTTAGTTGTTTTTAATTGTACCTCCTACTATTGCCTACAAAGTCAGACTGTTGTGGTAATTCTAGCAAATAAGCCAAACAAGCAAGGTCAGGTTGAACAACATTAAAACTGGGGTGATTATAATACCACAAGCCTTTGTATTTTGTCTTATGACTTAACCACTAGTCATTTTACATGTGTGCTGAAACTCATGCCCAAGAATATACTGATAAAAAGAAATCATAGGGTTTGCAATTGTTTTTAAGAGAATGATGCAATTGTTTTTAAGAGAATGATTGAATATTACAGAGATTAAACTGGAAAAAAAGAGTTGTAAATGGACAAGAAAGATCAGTGGTTTATCAGTCTAAACTGTAATCTAGACATCAACAATCAAAATCAGTCTGACAAGGAGAATTAGGAGATCTATAAAACAAATAGAATGAAGGTGAAAAACATAAACATGGAGGTACTTGGAAAACTAAGTCTTCAAAAATCTAAATGACAGGTAGAACTTCATTTTTATGCTTCAAAGCTGAACATTGTTGCGGTACTATGTAGAGACTTGAGTTGAGTTTTGTTCACTTTCTGCAGTAGGAATTAAACTATACAGAGGGACACAATAAAGATATCCAAGTTTAAACCTAAGGGAAAAAAAAATGTTAAGTTTAGTGGATATTCACTGTCCAGTCATTCCTTCAATCCTTCCTTATTTCTTATATCTTACGTTTAATCACCTACTACTCTTGGAGAATTGGAGTGGCTATCATAATCTACATAGTGAGCAGTGAAATCTCCAGTAATGGTGAGACACAGCTGGACATAAGGATTGCCCTAAATTTCAATACCTGATTCCTCAGCCAGGCTTCCTATGCACTGAGTGCCCAGATGGGCACTTTCACAGTTTATCTAGGATATTTCACACATGGTTTATTCATGAGGAATTGTACTTTGTTTAAATTTCTCCCTTTCAGGCAGAAATATGTACATTCAGGTTTCCATACGCTGACATATATTATTAGTTTCCAAAGATAATCACCTTCTTTATACCGAAGTAAGTCCTCTCTTTGCAGCTTTTAAAATGAATTGTACTTACATTGAAAAGGTTAGTTATAGCAATGAGAGTAATAGTTATGCAGTATGATTAAGACTGCAGAATCCGACATATAAGGATTAAATTCTGATTTCACATACTCCACTGATTCTGGACAAAAATAAAATCCAAAATCTATCTGATTTTCTTTTCTTTAAAGGAAATGAGGATATTTTCTGAAATACAAGATGGAAATTCACTGCATTGTGCAGCGAATGCAGGAAATTCACTGCATATTAATTTTTATATATACATGATATATATATAAATATTATATGTTATATATATAAAATATTTTTATATATACATTATTATATATAATATTATGCAGTGATTTTCCATCTTGTATAAAATATGAAAACATTATTGTATAAAATATGAAAACATTATTATATATATGAAAAGAATTTATAGTGAATATCTATATATAGTGGCCCCTAGGATCTACATTGAAGACAACCAAGGATTCCTGTAATAGACATTCTTAGCGTGTGTTTGTGTGTATGTGCGTAGGTTTATTGTTTGTAATTGGAATCATGCTTTAGCAGTTACCTGGAAGTCCTATCTGCTCTTACTGAGAATTACGATATTGATGAACTTGAAGGCCACGCAAGTTTACAGAAGACTTGTATCAGCTCACAAAAGAAATGTTTGCACTCTGTTCATAGGTACTATATTGTGGCTAAATGCATTGTAGGATTTTTCAGACAGTTTGTTCACTTTGATGTATTAGCAAGCTAGTAGGAATACCAAAAGGCCTAAACCTTGCTTCTCTAATGTGTTTTGAAATAATATTTTCCACTCAAACTACTTGTCTCTAATGATTAACTTAATCATAGTAAATATAGATGATATGCAGTACCTTGGTATACAGCAAAAATACAAGCAGTTCATGAATTTCCCCTGCAAAATATGTGCATATATCAGTGCCATAAATTTAACTATGCTGGCCTTTTTGAGGAGAGAAGTATTTCAGCTAACAGTCTTGGAGACCTGTTCTAATGATCTGAAATAGATTTTTAACATATTAAGTGACTCAGGAAAGTCCTCATAGAAAGGACTGCTACTGGAAAAATGGTTATTTATTCAAATGTCATTTGGAGTATGAGCTATGGTTTTGAGTTACCCATTAGTCACAAATAAGTTTCTGGTAAATGAATATTGTTATTCTGGCCATCACTTTTTTCATGGACAGAAAATAAATAAATAAAAACACTGTATACTGACATGAGAAGATAGGTAAATCCAGGAAAGATAATCGAACTGCGAGCGACTGTTTGTGACAGATGCTGATATACTATGATCAATGTATTTATCCTCTGGGTATTGATATTCTAAAGATTTTTTTTTTTTTTTATCTTGAAAATTTGTAGTTACAGCTGATTTCTTAGATGCCTTTTTTTTCCCCACCATTTATGACAAGTAAATTTGGAATATGGAAATGAGAAATGAATTTTAGCCATCAGTATTTTCTACTTTTATCTTTTACAGAAAGTTGAAAAGATGAAAAAGATGAAATGCTTATGGCGACTTCTGTTTATTGATTGATTTTTCTTATTTAACTGACCAACACCATATATTTCCTCATAACAGGAAAAACTGCTGCTGCCACTAAAATGACATCATGTTGTTTCTTTTGGGAGGATTCTGAAGGCTTCTCAAAAATACGACACAGTGGTAAGTAATAAAATACAATTACATTTTCTATAAAAGCACATTAGAAAACAGATAATTTTGTGCTGTTGATGTTCTCTAATTTGTTTGAAGCATATCTTTACATTGTGCATATCCAGCTAAAATGCTTATAATTTTCAATGTATTCATACAATGAGATATGGAATGAAATGCGTTCCAGCATTTGTGCTTTTTATGTGCTTATTCTTGATAAGCATGAATTTAGTATTATTTTTCAATTCTGGTTATATGTAATCCATCATTCTTTTGTTAAAAGGCATAGAATAGGCATAGGCTACTTTAACTTTGCTAATCATTAAAAATTGGGTTTTCCAGGCCACCCTATATTAAATAGAACTGAAAAACTTTAGTTTTCAAAACAAGGTTAGGCTCCAAAGTACATATGGAGACTTAGTTGCTATGTCCTACAGTCTTTGTTTTATATTGTTACAATAATGATCTTTTCTCTCCATTTTATTAGCAAATTATGAGGGAAAATAATTTAATAAATGGCACACAAGCACACACAAATGTTCACACACACACATAGATATTCCTATGTTATAAATCTGAAATACTAAACAGTATAAGTAATATAATAAAATATAAAATAAAATGGTAATATGAACTAAACATTCCTATAATATCAATATGAATTATGAAATGGGTTTTCAAGTCCATGTGTAGAATATAAAAGATTAGATTAACTGAGTCACCTTTCTTTCATACTATGCCTGACACATTGTTTAATAAAGAGGAAAATATACAAATGGCCAGTTTCTCTGATGCATAGGTCTTTCTTCTCACATTATATGCACTATGAATTCCCAAGCAGATGTGGCTTTTGCTGTGATCATTGCACTACCAGCAGTGCAATGAAGTTTCAATTTCTTATTATTATTGAGTCCTAAATTCAAGGAGAAAGAATAGTAATATATCTGGCACGATAATAAAGTTGTGAATAAGCAATAATTCATACTATGACAGGTTAGTTATGAGATCCAAGGGTACCATTATGTGAAGTGTAAATATCAGACAAAGAAAATAACAGCTTTGAAAACTCCTGTGATTTTTGCATCACTGAACCGTGTTTATTCCAATTTGTTTTAATTTAAATGTAATTGAATAAAAAGTCTTTTCTGAACAGGAGTATGTTTAATGGTTCAGCATCCGTGCTGGTCATGATCATGGCTAAGTTCTTTTTATTTACTATAAAAAGTAATGCACATGTGCAAGAATATCATCCATGGGATTCAATTACATACTCTCCCGAAAAAAAACATATTGAAACTTCTTCATGATGGAGGAAGAATTGGTATAAAGAATCCAAAGCCGCAGTCAAGTAAGCCCTGAATTCCTTTGAAAAAAGGCAGTTGATGATAGTTTTGTTTCATTGTGTATGAAGATTAGCCACAGCCATTTTTCAGCAGGGTAAAGTCCTTCCTCAAGATATATTCCAGTACTCTGATAATCTTGAAGGTGGGGGGAACACAGAGCAGTTTGTGAAGGAAGTCTGGAGGAAATACTGAGGGAGTGGTGCGATTTTAGTTTTCTTTTTTTTCGCTGAAAATGTTGTTTGCTTAATAATTTTGTTGTTCTTAGTAACGCACAGAAAGGACATCAGAGAGGAAGAAGAAGAAAGGGAAACAAAAACACTAAAACAGAGAAGTGAGATACAGCCTATTGATGTCAGTAATTTAACTCTCACTCCAAGTTAGTGGACATCAGAAACCAGTTGTGCCTTTTGAAATCTTCCTTGTTAATGTGAAGTGATAATTTGGAATATACATAAAAGAAAACAAAAGAGCAGAAATTAAAGCTGTAAATCTACTCCTAAATACATGAAATTCATATTCATACTTTTTATTGTCACATGTAGTGACAAGCATGTTTGGCCCTTTGCAAATGTCATGGAACGAGTGGTGGTGGGGGTGAGTGACACAATGCACTTCACTTGTGGGAAAGAAATGGTAATAGGTTTTACTGATAATGACAATGGCTTCACAAGACTCTATGGCGAGGTCACTTATTAGTTACTGCATGAAGGTCCAAGGTACATGCAGAATTACCAGGGACACCCTCCCATTGGGTCACAAGGTTCAGAGTGGACCCCCTTCTTTCCAGACTCCTTCCGAGAGGAGTCTGGGTGCAGCTGGATCCAATCCTAGTCCCAGACCTGGTTAATGGTTTGTGGCTAAGGGATTTGTGCACAGTTACAAAGTAAAGTTTACAAGCTCAGATAGAGAGTGTGTTATAGTCACTTACCATGAATCTGTAGTGAGAAGGATCTCTTAAGCCCGAGGAGTATCCTTAAGAGGCACCACTGCTCAAGGGAAGATCCTGACATGCAGCCTACTGCAATGTAAGGGCAGCTCAACAGGCTCTCAGGGTGTCCTCATATTTATGGGATGATTGACTTACAGTCATTTTTCAATTCAGAAATGACCGTTGGCTGATGTACTCACAATTAGCCTCATCTCCCCCATCAGGATGCAGCCATCAGGACTGTTATTAATGGTTAATATGTGGGTGGGGGAAGAAATCAGGGAGGCAACTACCAGGATCAGATAATGTGGTAGTTAACACCTGAATAGGGCTACCTGTGAAGAGTCAGTTGAGCTGGGGAAGGAGCAAATCCATCACAGCAAACACCAAGTAACTTAACACACACAACAGAGATTTGCTAGTACATGTTAGGGGATTTGTGAGTTTGCCTGGAGGAAGCTTGAATTTTTGTCAGAAGCGTGCCTACAGACAAAAGGAAATGGATCTGAAGACTTTCAGAAAAGTGTAGGACCCAAGGTAACTAACTTTGGCGATCACAGATGAGTATTTGATCATAGTGGATCATAGCGATCTGTTTTTAAGAACAGAGGAACTCTGAGAATGTTGTGAATCTCTGCTGGTTCGAAAGCCAGTTAAGTGTGGTGGGAACTTAGATTGTTGACAGGTTGTTGCATAATGTGCAGTTTCTATGTTTAAGAAAAATATAGAAAAGACTCTCCGTGCTTTTGTCACTTCTCTTGTTATCATTCCCATCCTAAAAACGTGATGAAGCTTCATCATAAACTGAAGATCATAATTATTTTTTTTTGAATAAAAGTGCAATTTATTTTTAGACTATGCAGCAAGTGTTTGCTGGCAATGCAAATTATAGTAAAAAATATAAAAGCGCACAGAGAACCGTTTGCTTTGTTCTTGGATGTTAGCTTATTTCCCAAGTAGACACTAGTGTAAATGATAGGATTTCATTCTAAAATCCTGATCTGACAGCTGATGGTGCAGATGGAGCTCTGTAGTAGCCCATGGAGTGCTGTGTAGATTCTTTGATGTAGCCACATACTGTCAGATTGTTGATAATGTTCTCAGAGCCTGATCAAGCCTTATGTCTTGTGTGATTCATGATTACAAATGTGAAGGAGTAATAAAGAAAGAGTAATAATAGAAAGCAGGAATAAATCATTCCAGTCCCAGTCCTGGGAGTTTTAGGAAAGGGATCAGCTCTTAGTTCTCTCAAGAAAACCTAGGCACAATAAAACCTGCCACCTTGCAATTATCAGTTCATTTCAGCCTCCTTTTCAACTCTCAGCATCCTACTTAGTTGACCAGAATCTTTCCTTTGCCTCTTGTTGTCAAGGTTTATGACTGCTGAATGTAAAGGGAAGTGCACTGAGAAATTCAAGTACTTGTTAAACAGTGCCTTAAACTCTTCTTTCTGGCTTCCTGTTTAGTTTTCACAGTATAGGACATTCCTAAACGGAAGAAAAATATTCCCTTCATTTTTCTTTGTCTCCTTGTAGAAAAAATAGGATAATTTATCATGAAACTGAAATCCATTATTTAAGTAGATTCTTAAGACCCTTACTATGATATAGAGGTTGTGGTGACCTTGCCCATGGTGCAGTCTTCCACAAAATTCCACAAAAAGGAAAGCTTCCTGAACACATCATTTGGTTAAGTATCTTTAAAAGCATACTCTTGCATCACTTAGGGAAACAATATAGCATGAAAAATACTGAAATATTTTCATTCTCTGCCAAACGCAGGTAATCCACCCAAATTATGCTAATCACTGCTCTTCACTGTTATGCTCAAACAAATTGATACAGCTGTTGACCAGGGAAAATTATTGTAAATTTATTTCATAAAAAGAAAAACAAAGCAACAACAACTAAAATAAACTGCTTGTACCAGCAGGAAGTCAAAGTGTTTATAGAATTATCTTAGAACTGAAAATTATTATGTGATTCTGAAGGAAAATGATCTTTGTATATGTGAATATAGAATATATTTACCATTAATTGTATGCCAAATTAGACTCGGACTTCAAAGTATTGTTCAGCTTTGTATTTTAAAATAGTATTTTATTTTGATTTTCCATTGAAGTTGTGCATAGATTATTTATATGCAACATTTCCCTATGGAATATTTTAATATAAAAGCAAGAAGTATCTGAAATACCCTTTCTACAATTTTTCATTACCCAAAAACATATTCTCTTTTATATATACTGCATTGCTCTCCATTGTTCTTTCCCAAGGAAAATATAAATATCCCAAAGGGGAAAACCACACAGATTTGGTAATGTTGCTACCCACTGGGAAAAAAAAAATCAGGATTATCTTTGAGCAGATGACTTTACTTAGGTAAAATACATACATATTTATCTAAACATATATACAGCGAGAGAGAGATATTCTGTCTATTTTCAGGTATTACAGTATCTACACTTCCTCAACAGATATGGGCTAGCATATCTCTCTCTTTGATAGGGTTGATATTGTATTAATAGTGATGGAGGTTCCCACATGTGGGTTAATGCACTACAAATGGGCACAAGAAACTTTAATCTATTATTCACAAAATAAATTTTAAATTAAATCAAACGCCGAATTCATTAAAGACTACACATCTGGAGGACAAAGCTCTGATGATAATGCAGAAGCTGTACTCTGTGTCTGTTAATTTTCAAAGCAAGAGTTTTCAATAGATGATCTTGACAA